AATATTAACTTTATCAAAAGCGACACGTTCTTTTCGACCATCTTTGTAAAGAATGAATGAAAAAATATTGTGTTAGTGTTAGTTCACTACTTAATTTTTCCCGATTGTGCACGTTATATATTCTATTTACATACCTCTTTTAAAGACAAACATGATTTTAAAATTGTTTTATTAAAGTATATTTAATTTATAAAAAGAAATAAATTTTAATGTCTTTTCAATATACATGTAATTCTTAAAAAGGATTTAAACTTTTACTCCCTCCCACAAAAAATCACAAAAAAAAATTATGGAAATTTACGTGTCGTACCCCAAAATTTTTAATTTTTTAGTGTTAGCCCCAAAAACCAGCCCGCTTAACTAAATATATATAAAGTACATCCTTTTGAGGATTATTCTAAAATTTCTTTATTGCCCCATTTTAATGAAACTCCCACATAAAAAACCTTTAATAAAAGGTGAAAGGTTTATACGATCTGTAAGTACCTCGTAGGAATGATTGGGACAGGTTAAAGATTGTTTAAAGGCAAACTCAATAATATTTTTGACATGAATTACATATTGCAAAGGTAGCTTTTTGATTATCTTACATGTTATGGCCCACACTTGTCAATTGATATATATATTTTATTGAATTTTCCTGATTACTGTCTTTTTCTTTTACCAAGAAAGCTTTGGCAAACTTGTAAACACATTTCAAGGTACAAATAATAATGAATTACAATAAAAATGGTCCCTATAATGTTCCTATTTTATTCACTTTACGTTTCTTTGGCCAATTGGAGTCAGCCATACGTTTACAGCAATCACATTAACACAATACAACAAAATGTGATAATGACTTTGGATAATAATAACTGTTAGCTCTTGTATAGGTGGTCGATCAGTGATGTTTGATGCTTTTGCCAATCAGTCTTAACACCTTAAGAACAGCTTATTTTGAAGGACTGCAACATCCTCCCCCACAAAAATGGACTGAATTACAATATATTAGATTCTTCCTTGCTTCATCTTGATCCTGCACATTTTGTGGTATTATTCAATCAACTGAAATACATTGGCAGTTTCATGTAAGATGCTGTACTAAATGTTACTGTGCAAGAACCACTATAAGAGAGTAAGTAATTTTATAAAGTTTAATTGATTAAATAATCATATTTATTCATTCATTTATTTAACAATTTCAGAGAAAAGACTATTAGAGGTGATGATTTCTTTATAGGATTACCTTATTTATTTAAGAAAAATATAAAGGAGGTACAGTTCCGATGGAAAGATATTATTGAGAAAAATTATTATGTTAGAGAATATGGATTAAAACCTGTTAAAACTTATGATGAGGAAGGTAAAAAAATGCTTGAGGTTCAAAAAAAATTCATGGAAGAGTGTGAGGATTGCAATAAAGAATGCAGTTTGTATATGAAAAAATCAAAAAGATTTATTGAGGAAATCAACAAACTTGTTGATAAAATTATTGAGGAGGGGAAATTAACATTAAAATACAGATCTCATTATATCCGATATTGTCTCACTTCATACAAAGAGCGATTTTCCATTTTGCTGAGGTTAAGGAACAACCTTCAAAAGAATACTGGGAAAGATTAAAAAATCAAATAATCTATGAAGCAGAAAAGCCACACCGACAGAGACTTATATTGGAATACTTGTTAAAAAATTGGCCTCGCCTTGGACCTAATAAACAAGTTGCTAAAACATTCTCTGAAAAGATAGCTAATCCTCTCAGATACTCTAAAGTTGATCTTTATATGATTCAAAATTGTCATAGTTATAGGGACCCACCAATATATCAAGGTGATGCCTACACTATTTATCCTGAGAGTTACCTTAAAGATCAAGTAGTACCAGTGTTAGAAGAAGAGGCAAAAAAGCTAAATTTATTTGGTGATTATAATAAATGAAAAGATCAAATATCACAAGAATCATGCCAGAATGAACATAGTAGATCTATTTAACACAAAAGAAAACTTTTAGTTTATGAAGTTGATTATGAGTTCAAGGTCTTTTTTTTTTATGTCTATTACCATCATTAATTCCTTCTGAAGTCTATCAGAATGAATGGAGATCTGTTAAATCTTATTATAAAAAAATTACTCGTGTGTAAAAAAAAAATTAGTATTTTTATTATTATTAGAACAAATAATGCATAATATATATATATTAATTAAATTATAAATAAAAAATTAAATTTCCTTTTGCATGATTTCAATCCCTTCAATTAATTGGTTTCTCTTGTTATTAATAATAATTCTTTTTTTTATTGCTAATTCATGGAAAAAAATAAATATATGTATAAAAACCATTATATAAATAATTTTTAAAAATCATAAGGTTTTCCCTATGTTATCAATATAAAATCATCCTCAGTAAAACCTAGATTTTTTAACGATTTCTCAACTACATTTATCATACCAGGTTGTCCACAAACAATTATTTTACTGTTAGGATCAAGTTTAGGTTTTTTATTATCATCGGCAGTACTACTATACGTTTCACTAAATTGACTATCAATTTCAGAATCACCATTTATATCGACAGGCGATGGACTTTGACTTGAATCAACTAATGCACTATTAAATATATGAGGATTTAATGGTTGTTGTGGTGATAAAATTGTTGAATAGTGTTGGAACTGTGGTTGTCGATGTTGTTGTGATGATGATGTTCTATAATGTCGACTATAATTATGACTTAAAGCACTTTCGGGATTGATTGATGTTCTATAAACATTATTGGCTGGTGATAATATTTTACGAGGTTTTGTATGAATTGGTATTGTTGGTGGTAGATTATTATTATCATTGTCATTATTATTTGGAGGAGGAATTGTACTAACTGGTAAATATACTGTATCTGTATTAGTGTTGCTATCGTTAGGATTACTAACTGTTGGTAAATTTGTTGTATTCGTTGTATTGTTACTATCATTAAATTGCATAATATTTGGCCTCTTATTTTTATTAGTTAATGAGCTAACATATGACAAAGGAGTATCAAGTCGTGATGAACTTCTACTAACTATTGGTGAATTTGTTGTATTCATTGTATTGTTATCATCAATAAATTGTATAGAATTTGGCTTCTTATTTTTGTCAGTTAATGAAGCAACATATGATAAAGGAGTATTAGTTCGTGATGGACTTCTACTAGCTATTGGTGAATTTGCTGTATTTGTTGTATTGTTATCATCAATAAATTGTACAGAATTTGGCTTCTTATTTTTATCAGTGGATGAAGCAACATATGATGGATGTTTTTTATATGGTAGTAGACTAGTAGGATTAGTTGAAGAATTTGGACTAGTAGAAGAACTTGGTACAGTTATATTATTGTTGTCGTTGATGATTTCATAATCGTTGCTGCTATTGTTATTATTGACAATCAAGTTACTTGCCTTTGAATTTAACCAATCTAAAATCATTTCTTGATCAATTTCGCCACTTTCCCCCTTCCAATCTTGAATTTGTTCATCTAGTGCATATGTTATAGTTAGCATACCCCTACTACTCATTTCATACTCTTCTAGTTATTATATATAATAAAAACAAAAAATGCAAGACAATCATTTCTATATTAGGTTTTAGGCATGGGTTCAGTATTAGTATTAATATTAGGGTTACGCGGCCAGCCCTGATATGTAGCGACAACTAGTCGTGTAACTCCCCAATTTTCTGATTTATTAAAAAGGAAACGAATCTAGTTAATTGAGATTTTATCTTTAATTTAAGTAAAAAATTTCAACTTAAAAATTCAAGAAAATTCAAATATTCAAAATGGTTTTAGAAGCAACAATGATCGTGTATGAAATCTGTTTTCTTTATTTTACGATTATAATGATTTTAATTAACATTATATATAAAATATAAAGATTGGATAATTCAGAATGGATGCGTAATGGTGATTATACACCAACTAGACTTGAAGCACAAAAAGATTGTGTAAATCTTTTATTTGGATCAAAAATTCAAGCTAACCCGGAAAACACTGTAGGTTTATTGACTATGGCTGGTAAAGGGTATATATATATATATATAAACATTTCTATCATATATTATGTCAGATTTAATTAAATTTAACAAAAATTTTCTACACACATATATTCACTTAGTCCAGAAGTTCTTGTAACTTTAACTTCTGATGTTGGTAAAATATATTCTGCATTACATAACATTAAAATCGGTGGAAAACCAAATCTAACAACTGGTATTCAAGTTGCACAGGTAATCTACAACTATTATGATAATAATTAATATGGATCACTGTCATTGATTAACATGATATCTAATTTTGTAATAATAATTACTATTATTATTATTTTCTTTATTTTTTTAAAAAAATATATAGCTTGCACTTAAACATCGACAAAATAAAAATCAAAAACAACGCATCATAGTTTTTATTGGCAGTCCAATTGATATTGAAAAGAATGCATTAGTAACGTTGGGTAAGAAAATGAAAAAAAATAATGTTGCAGTGGATATTATTAACTTTGGAGAAGAATCAGAGAATAATTCAAAATTAGAAGCATTCATAAACGCTGTCAATAGTGGTGATAACAGGTATTAATGATAATCAATCAGCAAGATTAGTAATAATAGTAGTATTATAATCGTTGCTAAATTATTACATAATCATTAGTCATATTTTAACAGTTCCACCAGGACCTCATATACTTAGTGATGCATTATTATCATCGGCTATATTAGCGGGAGAAGATGGTGTTCCTGCTGGTTTTGCCGCAGGCGGCGGAAATAGCTTTGAGTTTGGTGTTGATCCTAATCTTGATCCCGAACTTGCTTTGGTAAATATTCATAAATACAATGTTTATATATATAATCTAGTTTTGTTTAGTTCAATCAATCGATCAATAATATATAAATCAATTAACGAAATGAATAATCAATATATAGGCTTTACGTATTTCACTAGAAGAAGAGAAGGCAAGACAGGAAGCTAAAGCAGCAGAGGTATCCACCACTTCAAATTCTAATCAAGAAGCAGAGTCATCAACAATGGCTATTGATCAAACAATCGGAGGAGGCAGTACTGATAAAGCTGAACTTAGTACAATTATTAACACAGAAAATCAAGTATGTTCAATTGATTTAGGGAAGCAAGGAGGAGAGGAGGAGAAAGAGGGTGATAAAGATGTATTTTTAAATTTTAATGGTGATAATGTTAATATTAATACTGTTGCTATTTAATAACAGACTGATGATGTACATATGGAGGAACTTACCGAGGATGAACAGATGGCTCGTGCATTACAAATGTCAATGCAAGGAGATGGTGAATCTGTAAGAATTATATTCATTTATCTTAACATTATTATTAAATTCTGACTATTATTAATAAGAATTATTTGGGGGGGTTTTTTTTTTAGAATGTTAAGATAACAACGGATGATTATAATGTTATGCAAGATCCAGAATTCATGAGTGAACTGCTTCAATCTTTACCAGGAGTTGATCCTAATGATCCACAAATTAGAAATGCTTTACAAGGTTACCCATCATCATCTACAAACAACGACAACGATAATGACAATGAAGAAGATAAGAAGAAAAAGAAGAAAGAGGAAGACAATAATCAATAAAATCATCATTATTATTTATTAATTTAGTAGTAGCAATAGTTATGGTGATATTATATTGCAATTATTATAATCAGTGTTATCATTCTTAGTTGTAGTGAACGAAATGCTAAAGCAATGTTATTTGATTTTTTCTCACAAAATAAAAAGGAAAAAAATTTTTTTCAGACAAAAATAATAACTCTTAAATCAATAATATTGCATGTATTAATTAAGTTTAAATAAATTATGTATATAGGTAAATGTGATGCATTAAATTTCACAATAGCAACAACGGTTGCGTGAATTGTTTTTAAAAAATAATTCATTCATTAATTTTTTAATTACAAATAAGAAACAATTTTCGTTTATTTAAAAAAAGATTTTTAAAAATTTGCAATTTATTGTTGTTGTTGTTGTTGTTGTTGTTGTTGTTGTTGTTGCAATTATCAATCTTGTTATGATTATTATGTTTGTTATTATCACCTTGATCTAAAAATTTGGAAAATTTTGTTGGTGACGATTGCGTCCTCCTGATCTGTTTGAACTAGTTGCGATATTAAATTTATCAACCAGCTGTGAATTTAAATGTTTTTTGCATTTTAGAGCAAACTCTATACATAAATAAATATTCACATTTATACTCTTATATAATTTGAATACCTCATTGACACAATTTGTTCCTTTTGTTATGGTAGCCAAGTATGAAGTCAACAATACATCATTATATTCCTAAAAATATTATTTATTTCCCATATAAAAATTAAAAATTATTTTTTGAAGGAAAATAAAAAATTTTTTGCAAAAAAAAATTTTATTTTTTGATAATTAACTGTTAAAAACTCTTGATTGAAATCTGATCCATCTATTGTTGGTAAACGATTACAAAGTCCAGCGATTTGACGAAGAATATCATGATCTACTGTTGATGGATCTATTTATCAATATATAAATAAATAAATGTTAACAACTCCATCTATCTAATAAAAAGCAAAATTTTATTGATTTTGCTTACCATTCTTGGAATTAACAAGATATTTATGTAGAAGTTTTATTCTGGTATGTAGCATCTTAATTGCATTTCTTTGAGTGGTTAAATGCGCAATCACTTTATCACATGAATGTCAACAAATATTCGTAAATAATGATAACAATTATATAATAACCATAATTATATAGTTTATACTAACGTGAAGATCCTTCACTTCCGTCACCAATAGTTATATGAGCAACATGATCAACAGCAATACGCTCAGCTTCACCGGTTTCAATTTTGTATTGAGATTTTATAAATAATGTTTGTGCTTGTCCATTAATTATATCAATGATTGATTCGTAGACAGTGATTGGAAGATTTTTAGATGTGACCATCTCGAAAGGATTCATTTGTAAAAAAAGCGGACTTTCATTAAATTCGATCATCTAATAAATAAATAAATAAATAAATATAAATATAAATGTATATATAATTATTAATTAAATGTGTCAGTAACCTGCTTGTGAATTTCTATGTCTTCTTCGGTAGGTTGTATTCCCAAAGTATACCACCCCAAGAAATCAAATTGAGGAAAAACTTGTCGAACTATTTATCGCATTCACCACCAAGAAACAATAATAATAATATTGGAATATTTTTAGAACAAAGAAATATTTTTAAGCAAATAAAATAAATAAAAATGAATTTTTTACATTGCTCTTGTTTTGTCACAAAATATTCATTATTTATATGAATCCTTCCATCAATTAAATCATAAGCTAATTCATACGAATTAGTAATCTCGACATCACGCCCTGACTGTCTTCCAAGAAGAGCTCCAAGCACCGTTACTATAATACGCATTTTTTATTAAATATAATATGTTAGAATAAGTTTAATTAAATAATACAATAATTCCAATATTATTATTATAAACATTACCATCTGATTGAGTTTGCATTTTTGTTCTTATATAATGATCTGATATATTTAATAGTGTTAATGGATGCCTATTTTTTTTTATCCCCCAAAAAAAAACTTATATAAAAATCAAGAAAGAAATCTGAAGTTCAAATTGAATCCAACAAAATATTTTGATACTAACAAAGAAACCATCAATCCAGAATTATTTGGTGCATTTGAAACAACCGAGGAAGTTGGGACATTGTTGGTAGTTGTTGTAATTGTTGAAGTGGTAGTAGCAGCAGCAGCAGCAGCAGCAGCAGCAGAAGCACTGGTGTCAGTTGAGTTTTCTTGTTGTAAAGGAACTTCTTCATTATTAGGCTCGATCTCCATCATTTTTACCAATTTATTTTAAATAGAATCTATATAATTTTTTACTTGATCTAATAATAACAATATCTTAAAATAACCCAATTCACGAGTCTAAAAGTGAGTTTTTTATGTTCAATTAGATGATCATTCAAGCCAAAATTATGTAGGACGTAGATCTTTGCCTATTACTGTTATTTAACTTTGGAAAGTAAATAAACCCGATAAGTCGGTCATGTCGGGGCGAACCCCTGTGACCGACTTATCGAGTTATCGAATTTCACGTGATTTTTAATTTTAAAATATAGTGCAAGACACCTAGTCCCACAACTTTTTATTGGCCTTGTAGATCCTTCTCTAACTCCAAAAATGGAAATGT